TAGGGCATTGCAGAGGAGGCGTGTGTTGATTATTAGACATGAAGGAGGAGCAGACCAAGCCATTGCAGTGGGTTAGTGTAGTTTTCAGAGTCAGCGAGGCTGTACGCTGGGATAAAGAGTGAGTCAGCCCATCGGGATCTGAGAGCACTACTTCTGCTGTCTGTTATGTCATCTAGATGATGTGCAAACTCGCTAGACTAAAGCATTGGGTCTCTCAACCCCTATGCCATAAGTGTTTACGGTTTTTATATTGGGCTAGATTTAATTTGCTATCCAGGACTGAAAGGTCTCACAGCTCTTGGGGTTCAAAGCTGAAAGACCTCTTGTTAGTTCAGACTTGCTCTGGTAGGAGGGGAGAGATTGGAGCAGAGCTTCAAGTTCAGTTTCCTCTCAAAAAAATGTGGTTACATGTGCCAGAACTGTCCCAGTCATGGAACCATCATACAGGGGAAGAGCTTTAAAGCTATACTATTGCTCTGAGCGAAGGTGTTAATATGGACACAGCCTTTGTTAATCTTAAAGATCTTTTGCCCTGGTCCTCCTGGTTATAGTATTCAGCATCATAGTACTCACTATTATCGTGTCTTTGGCTAATAAAAGTTGCTGTTGCTAGCTCCTGCTCTTTCAGGTATCACTAATTCAAGTCCACTGACTTTAATCTAATGTTTATATTAAGAAAAGGGGAGGGGAAAGGGAAAAAAAAAAGCCATTTGGGTTGGGTTTTTCTTTTTTCCAGTATTGTTGCTGTCAACATGCCACAGTTTCATCTGAAACAAGGGATGCATGAAGCTTTTCAGTCTGGGTTTTGTTTCCCTGTATTCTTTATCTTTGTTTAATTTGCTGACTGGCAGCTGGAAAATCACTTAATCAGCATATCTGGCCCAAATACTAGGCTTGACTTGAACATACTGACAGTGTCTTGGCTCATGCACAACTGAGACTAGTTTGAATTCTTGTGCTGTGATCTGTATAGGTAGTGGTGATGGAAGAAGAAAAACATAATAGTCTGAAGATCTGTCGTGTTCCCTGCCCAGCTATGCCACAGTACTCAAACCCCCAATACCTATTTTGATCTTGTTCGTAACCTCATGTGGATTTAGAGTCACTTCTGACTTTACAAGACCTTCTGTGAGAAGAGGAACAGCTCTCTATTTCCAGGGCTCACTTTGCAGGCCTGGGTTTGGGTCCCTTCATTTGTTTGCTGTCTTAGAAGCACCGTTGTATTGCATTTATTTCTGTGATCTAAGGAGCTGCTGAGCAGTGTCATCACGCTGGCAGTTCTGTTTGGCCATCACAAAAAGCATCTTCCCTGAAACCAGGGAAAGCCAAGTACTATGAACTAATTACTATGTAGGACCTATTGTGACAAGATCCAAAATTAATTTACTACCTTTTTTTTTTTTTTCCCCAGGTACTCCACTTCTGCATTCTCCAAACTAAGCAAAGTAGGGATCCAACACCCCCCACCTCTTCCCTTTATTGGAAACCTGCTCTTTTTCCGTGAGGTAAGGTACAGTTTTCTTTGTATCTATCAGAAGTGATGGGAAGAGCAGGTGGGAGGAATTGAAGGGGATCCTACACTTCAGCGGTACCATCTAGTCAGGAAGATTCTCATTCTATAAACAACAAGCAAAACTCTGCTTTTTGAGTGAATTCGTAGAAGCAGTTGTGTGCAAGCAGTTCTAATTTCAGGGTAAAATAAACTTGAGGCAAAGAAAATGTGTGAGCTCCTGCAGTTAATTACTTGAGCTTTTCCAAGAAAGTTCATGCCCTCAGTGAAACAAACTTAGTTATGTGAATGGAGCAGATTATGTTAACTAGCCCCAACTGGTTTGTTCTGAGTGGTTTTGGCTCCTACAATCTTTCTGTTTGTTTGTGCTTCTGCTGATGGTACACGTTTATTTTAAGTCTGGCAACGTTGCTTGCTCCCAAGCAGTAACTGGAATTAGGTACCACTGCACGCTGGTTGCTCTGTGCCCCTGGTGTTACTGTCCTGCACTGGCACAGGGGAAGGAGGGGGGAAGTCTTGGGATTCTGCCTCCAGATTTCCTTCTGTTATTTTTCTCATCCCTTAGCCTGCTAACGCTGTTCTTTTTTGCTCCTTGCTCAATTTCAGTAATGCTTTTCAGGGTCCAAGTCTCTTAATAATGTGGACCTTCCATTTCTCTGACTAGATCATGCAGTAAAATCTCTCCAGTGAGAGATTGTGCGTCTCTGTTGCAGTCCAACAACTTTTCAAGAAATCTGGGCTAACTCCATGTGCTGCTCGTTTTCCTCTTTTAAATGCCTGGTCATCAATATCCTTGCTGAGATTTGAATTATTAATGAGAATATAGTGCCTCTTACCTTGGTCTTCATGGTGATTGTTCTGTCAATATCTGTCTCATTATTAGGTAAAACCCATTTAAAGACCAGTTTTACATGTACATCTGATTTCATTTAGAAAATACCATAAAAGATAGACTTGATCTGCTCTTGATTAATTTGAACTAGAATTGACAGGAGGACGAACTTATGGATGTTGCTGGTGGTGTGGAACAGACCAGTTCATCCTCACCCTTCTGGTTTAAATTCGGCTGGATGGCATGAAGCTTCTTATCCTGTAGCTCTTTGACAAAACCCAGTTATCATTAGTCACCTCCTAACATTTGCTGTAGGAAAAGGTTCCGGCAGAGTCAGTTACTTTGGTATGTTGTTGATAGGCTTGTCCTGTACTAGTGTACAGGGGGAAAGTTTTTGTGAATCGTTACCTATGATCTGTTAGGCAAATTTCATTACTACTTGCATTCGTTAGATTCACTGAAAGCTGGGTAATGAAGAAAAGACAAACTTGATTTTACTAACTTTTAGGAAAAAAAAAAATTAAAAGTAGGTGTGAAATTGTATCTTGGAGTACAAAGAAATAATAATTCCAGACAGGGTTTTTAAACATGGCTAAGTGATGCAAAACCACAAGCCCCACCAGGCTGTAGATCCAACACTCCAACGTTTCCCTGCCTGTTGTCTCCGTAGTCCTATCGCTGCTGGTAGAAACAAGCAGGGATGAATTCAGGTGCTCTGTAATTTTTCTTTCTTCGCTTGTATATTTTGCCATGCTTTCTGGATCTGTTCCTGTGGCTGCTTTCTTAGAAATAGTGCCCATAGCAACGTGCCGGTAACAGGAGGGCTGCTTTTATACTGCAGGCTGTTCTCTACGAGAGTGTGTTCAGGGACGCAAGTGCTCTCGTGGTAGTCAGTTGACGACAGCTTCCACCGTCCCTTCCCCAGCAGGGGAGAACCAGAGGCTGCCTTCATGGGGTTGCACATGGTTTTAGGGGTTTAGCTGCCAGTGGCACAGTGGTGCATGAGCAGGGGTTTGCTGCAGACTGGAGTTACTCTGTGTTTGGTTGTTTTTTTTAATAAGAAGTAGCAAAACACTGATTGGTTCTGTCACTACGTCTATAATGTTAAGAAGTTCTTGCACTTGCATGTTTATGCAAGCATGTCTTTTCACTGAACTGGCTTTTTAGAGAGGCTCCCTTTTTAAATAGGCCAGCTCCTTCCTTGTACTGCCAATATTGTGCAGGGAAAACTCACGAGCCGCGCTCACACTAAATCATGAGACCAGTGGTTTTCAACCCATGAACCATTTATTCCAGAGGAGTGCATGAATGATGGCGAAGAGGAGTGAGTTGATGTGTGCCGTACTGGAATCTGTGTGTAATTTATGCATTTCCAGTGTCAGATTTGGTCTGCAAATCACCACAGGTTGAAAATCCCTGTGCTCTAGAAGAGGAAGGGAAATCAAAACACTTAGACGTATATAGCTTTCCAGTCCAAAGAGTGTCCTCATCTCATGGTTTCAGGCTTTCTTCCTAGAATGATTGCTAAAAACTAAAGGAAAAAAATAGAAGAGGAGAGGGAGTCCTTTTGGCATAATCAAGTAAATCTAGGACCTGGGGATTTAAGAAAAACCATAAAATATCAAAAGCTCTTGACAAAATTGTGGGACTAAGCAGTATTTTTCAATTTGCAATGGCATAAATTCAAGGATTCACTTATATTCTCCCTTACTTGGGTGTAAATCAGCTCTAGCGAAGTGAACAGCGGTTCCTGTTTGCTCTGCTGTACATACGGGCAGAGCAGCAGGCTTTATTTTTTTTTCCTGTTATTATTATACTGTAAGTGTGCCTGGAAACAAACGAACAATGCAAGCAGGATTTGACCAATAGGGCAGGGTTGTGGAGTTTTTATTAAACCTCCAAATGTATTTTAAACAAGAAAATGTTTGATTAATCAGACTTTTTGGAGAGAGTTATTTGAGGGATTTCTCAGACGGTATGTTTTCTTTGAGGAAAGGAAGATTTGCTGTAACATAGTGTCTGAGAGAGGAAGCATGGTAAGTTAAGGGGCTGAGGGAAACGCTGCAGGAAAGACCTATCTCCATCACATGAAGCAGACTTTTAAGAACTGACTTGGGGAAAACAAAGTTATTTTACTGTAAGTCATCCCCTTTCTCTTAAGTACAATAAAGGGAGATAATCGCACCCTGAAACTAAAACATATCCAAGTTAATCGGCTTATCTCAAAAATGAGAAGATAGGAAATTATTGGAGTTCTGCAGCTGGGAAATTATCCGACTCCAAGATATTAGATTAAAAATTCTTCCATTGCATGAGAACAGTTTGTGGTGGGTAAGTCTGATGTAATAGTAAATATGATTAGGCTGTTTAAAAAAAGCAGCATGTTCAATTTTCCCAATAACTGAGCAGGCTTGCAGCAGGCAGACCACTGTTTTGCTAGAAACTCCTGACTGCTCCCCCACCTCTCCACACATTGCATTTTTCCTACCAGTCTGTGGAAAAACATGAGTTTAGTTTGCGAGAGCCGTGTAACAGGAGACGCGAAGGTATACACAGCATGGACTTCCACACGTGGGTCTGCATGGGCTTCAGAGCAGCAGGCTGCAGGAAAACTAAACAAAACTCTCCTATTAATTCCCAGGCTAACGAATTTATTACCTGACAAACGCTCTGAAAACCGAGAAGGCGCACGCGGCGCGTTACCCTTCCTCCTGAAGAACCGCAGCAAACACTTGACCTGTTGCTATGGCTGTGCTGTGCTTTTCTCCCCCTTTCCCGTCCCTTTCCTAAAAAGGCAGCTACGCTGGATTTAAATGTCATGGGCTGTGACATTTGCAGCGCGCTGGTCGCCTGGCACTGTACCTGCGTGCACTGCTCCCCGCCCAGCCTTCTGGAGAGCAGCACTGTGCCGCTGCGGCCCTGGGGCTGGCCCCTGTTGATTTGGGGGGGCGGTGGGTGTGCGGCTGGTGCCTTGGTTGGGCACTTGGTAGGCAGGGTACGCGGCTGCGCCCTCTGTATAGTTGGGTGATGTGCTCCCAGTCCTTGTAATGGTGTGATCAGGTGCTGCTTCCCTCCTGTTACTCCTAGCAGGCTCCAGTGATGCTTTTGACTGGCTGTGTGCTTGTATCCCTGCCTTGCATTTTAATGAAAGACATCACTCTCTTTAGCCCCTCTCTGCTTGGACAAGATACTCTTTGTTTACTCTGTTTATTTCTGTCTGGCCTACTTGTAGATCCTGGGCTACCCCGGAGCGGCCCATTTCTGCTGAATGGAAGTGGGGGCTGTGTGGGTGCTTTGTCCTGCTTTCAGTTTGGGATCTGGCTGGGCTGTGTTATTTTATGGCTGATGGGGGGGAGTGCAGGGAGGAAGCGGAGAGCAAACATGATCTTTTTCCACTATGTGCCTGCCAAAAGCATCCTTTGAGTTGGACGTAAAGAAAAATAAAAGGCAGAGTCCTTGCAGGAATGAAGTTAACCCCGTGTCTCATTTTCAGCCTAGAAAGCAGTGTGTCAGTGCTTAGAGAGAGAGGCTGCCACCTTCACTGTTCTGGAGTTTAATGACACAGCATGTAAACCCAAACAGGGGTGGAAAGAGGCAAATGGTGAGGGAACAAAGCTGGAGGGAAGGGAAGAAGAGGAGCACTCAGGCTGCAGACCTGGATTTTATTACAAGAACAATGTGGCTTACACTCTCAGTGGAAACCTGCATACGGTTTTGTGTAGCTTCGTGTTGAGAGGAATGGGATAGGGAGCGTGTGTTTTGCCGCTTGATGGATATCTGCGTGGAGCCAGACAGGTTGGCCGTGGCATCACCATCCAACCTGGCTTTATCTCCCTGAGTCAGCTGTGTGCATCCGCTGTGGGCTGCTGACTGCCCAAACAGACTCCCAGGGTGCCTCCGGTCTTCCAAACGTCCTGGGAACCCCTCCTTGATCAGGATGCCTGTGCATGCACTTCACGTGACACAGATGCACGTGGTGCAGATCTAAACCTAGCCACTTCACAGTCTGCAACATGACAGAAAACCTGGGGTTAGGTGTGTTTTCATGTGTATACTCGTACGTCTGTAAAGTCAGTCTCTCCCCCTTCAAATCCATGTGTTTTCCTGGTTTCAACTCATACTCTGCGCTTCCCACTTTGATCAGACGTTAGCATTGTCAGATA